TCACGTCACTAGTGCCAGGCAGAGTATTCAGGCTTTGTGTTGACAGGGGGTTGTCACCAGGTGATATGCTGATGGAGGCCTGGTGTTCAGATTCTTCAGGGGCAGAGTTCAGGGGTGGGGGAAGGGGTCAGTGAGTCTGTGGAAAACCTGGTCTTTTAATAGCTTAAGAGAAAAGGAGTCAGTTCTGAAGCAGGCAGAGAGCTCTAAGTACTTTTTTTATTTTTGGTAGAACAGAGTGCTCTGAAGTTTTGCAGAACACTTTGAAAGCCCTCCACATCTGACTGTCAGACTTTAAGATAGCGAGTTGCCTAATTGGAGAGCATAATCCATTGGTTATTTATAAATACAGAGGCTCTGATTGGATGGTCCACCACCAAGAACAAAGTAAAACCCTTGTTTTAAAATCTCCACCCAGGAACACTTCAAAGACAAACCAAAACTGCTCTCTCTTCTACTCCTAACTGTGGCCAAACAGCATTTGCTGCGAGAGTAACACATTCTTTGAAGAATGTACAGGACTCTGTTTACATCTGCCTCCTCTGGGTATTGATTGAAAATGTGTAAACTAACTGTTTCTCACCAGTGTAGGACAAAAAAAGTGAGCCAGCTGGTACTATTCTTTTACTTCGTTATAAAGTATTGACTCCAGGAATGCCACATTATACAAGGTCTCAACGTATTTTCTAAAAGAAATAACGAACAAGCCAGCAGCTACATTGCAAAAAATCACCAGATTGATTTTCGTAGACTAATTTGTGCCCTGGGAGTCACTAACTCCAGACCTTCTAGTCAAACAAGTTTGATTTCTTAGGATCATAAAATTAAATAGGATTGGGTGATTTCTGCATTTTTAATTACTTGAATATGACGCCTGACATTTGAGACATCAGTTGCTCTTCAAACACAGTCACAAGTTAATCCAGTTAATATTTTGTCACAGTTCTCATGTGTGTGCGTTCATGTGTGTGCGTGCATGTATTGTGTGTGTAAATTGGATGGGAACATTTAATTGCTTTATGGACCACAGAATTTCAGGGCATAAAATTTTTTAATTGGCATGAAACAGTTCCCAGACTGCCAAATTGACCAACTTTGACCCATCTTTTGAAGACTCTTCAGTGTGTGACTTCACGCTAACTCCCCAGGGGGCCATATGAATGAAAGAAAAAATAATTTAAAAAATATGCTCCTTTGCGTGACAGTCCCTGCAAAACTTTTGCCGTTATTATAAACCCAAATGCCAGTTTCTTAATATCCACTCTTTTTTGACAAATGATGTTTTGTGCTATCCTCTCAACCCTAGAGAAGCAGTAAAAGAAGAGACCTTGGTGTCACATGGCTTTTAGTAGAAAAGGGTCATCATGATATAGAGGGTCATGTGACCAGAACAAGCTCCAGAGAAGCTTGAACATTGCTTCACGGTGGGGGGAGGGTTGGAAATACAGAAAATAACTCTGCTCTACAGGAATTTTTGCCGTCTATGCAGGAAATTCCGTTTTCTCTTTCGACACCTGGGAAGACTCAGCCAGCCAACGCTGCCAGGCAACTCACCAAGCACAGGGAAGTGTTTTCCAACCAAGGATTCCCTTGCCTCACAAACAAACGCCCTCCAACTTGGTCATGGTGTCTATTCCCACAACTTGTGATACCAGAGCCACTTCCTGGAATTGTAAAAGTGCTGCCAGAATAAATGGTTTTCCCCCTTCCAAGAAAAAAGAATGACAGTGCTCCTATTTGACACTTGTGCATTAGACTCTTTTGAATGAATAAAGAGGAAAGGGTTTGGTGTCATTCCTGATGAGGTGTGATATTTTTCATGCTACAGTTTGTGAATTGTAGTTGTGGTGTCCCATTTAATTGTCATGGCCGGGCAGAAATTTTTTTTTTAATTCAAAAAAGTTCAATAAAAAAAAATACAAAGGTGTGGTGAAGCAATCATATTTCCAGAATTTAGTTATTTCCTTTTGTTGTTTTTTTTTCCTTCAGTTTTGAATAACCATTTTATATTTTTAGTTCTTAGGATCACTTTTGAGCTCCGGGAGGTAGATGGTGGCAGCTCTGTGTGGGGATGGAGTCCCTAAAAGCAAACGACAGAGCCCCTGTTTACAGCTCTCCCTCTCTTTTCAGGCTGGAGATTCAACTCTTGCATATCGCCTGTCTTAAATCAAGATCTTTCCGTGATCTGCTCTACTCCTAAGCCAAAGCTTAGGAATTTATGGCAGGTTTGCAAGGTCCCTTGCCCTGATCTTTCAAGAGCTCATAGCAGAAGTCCTTGCCACGGCCCTGTAAGTAGTGTCCCGGTGGGTCTGTATTCACCAGCAGAAGGAGCTGACCCACAGGTGTGGGGTGAGAGGCTCTATTCCCTGCCTTTTTTTTTTTTGTAAACGTCAGTTGAGAAGATAAGGAAAGAAAGGGAATGTGGCTACTTTATGCAGAAGAAGCAGCTTCTAGGGAAGGAACAAGAGCAGAAAAGCCAGGTCCTGAGGCACAGGGAGGGAGAGCCCCCCTCAACCAAGAGGGCCTCATCAGAAGGCGCCAGAACTCCACTGGGTGCCCTAACCTCTGCCAGGCTCTGAAGCCACGTGACAGAATTTTCAAAAGAATGGGGAAGCAAGGTGTGCAGCACGTGGCCGACTTGGGTCCAGGGACGGGCGAGCGCTGCCGTCCCTCCTGCCGGAGAGGACACGCACGGGCAGTGTAAACTGCCACGCTGAGCCGGGTACTTGTTAGCAAGAGACTCGGAGTTTTGTGAACTTGCTGAGCAGGTCACTGAGAAGCAGGTGTCAGTGGTGACGATCAGAAGTGCGTGATTTACCGCATATTCCCTCCCAAGACTATTTCTCCTACTTAACTGTGAGCTTTTCGAAGTAGATTACAGGTTTTGCTTTGAATACACAACGCCGGACAAATGGTGGCTGCTCAGGTGCTGGATTCAAAAGCTGAGGGTTTTCTTACCCGGGACTGTGCAAGTCACCCAGTGGTGCTGGGGATGAAGAAGGACATCCCCTGGCAGAACTTGCTGCTGTTGCACTAAGTAGGAAGGAGACATGGAGTCACTGGATGAGTCCTTACAAAGCAGACAGCCCTTTGGAGTTATTTGGGCTTGATGCATGAGAAAATTCATCAGGTAACAGAAACCCTATTTGAGTATTTAAGCTCAGGTAAGAAATATCTTCCTCATCTTAATATACAAGAAATATTTTTGAATGAAGCAAATTTCGTGGTAAACACTGTTTCCCAAACTGGTCCACGAAGCATTCTAGTCTCCTGAAATAGTAAATCAGTGTTCCTCTGGAAAAGAGGGCTGAAATCAGGTAAGTCTGAGAAATGCTGCATTAAATAAAGTTTAAAAGAGTTTCTGCTGCAGGACTGTGGGAGCCTTTTAGATGCCGATGCAAATAGTGTCCGAAAGGGGAATGGAATGTGCAGCATTTCCATGTGCACAAGTGTGAGAGGAAACCTTGCCCAAGAGTTGCCTGTGGGCATCCTTCCAGACCCGTGTCCCCAAAGCAGGCCGAGGCAGTGGTCAGCGAGGTGGACACAGCACCTGAGGATAGACAGTCACTTCTCTTTGGAGGCCTTTTATGTTAACAGGAGGCAGAATGCCGTGGTGGTTACGAACACTCACTGCAGACGGCCTCCGCTTGAATCCTGGCTCTGCCATCAGCTTACCTGCTTCCTCAGTTTCCTCCTGTGCAAGATGGACGAAACCGTCTACCTCATCCAGTTGTTATGAATATTGAGTGAGATCCTCTGTGCAAAATGCTTATGACAACGCCCAGTGCTCTTAAACGCTAATTCAGTGCAGCTAATCTTATTCTCCTTGCGTGGTTCTCCTTTTTACCATGGAAGCAGGGCTCAGGCTGAGTCTTCCCCAGTACTCAGCTAGAATTTTTAGCAATTTTTTCTTTTCATCATAGTTAACAGTTGGTTATTTGCATTAGTGGTAAAATACTTGCTTTCAAAATGAATGCATTTAGAAAAAAAATACTTAGAATATTAGAAAGAAAAATATTAAGTGCAGGTGGTACACTGAGAAAAAAATGGTGAACAATGGAAAAAATTATGACAATAGTATGAAACTATCTGGATAATGTCATGGGGGGACACGGTCTAATGAAGTTCTTGGGGAGACCAGTCAATTTCCCTCTGAATCCGGAAGACATCAAGAGCTTTTTTTTTTCTTTTTTCTTTTTTTTAAGAGAGGCATTTTTTTTGTTTGTTTTGGAAAAAGATACAGGTTTTTTTTTTTTTGAAAGGGCATCTCTCATATTTATTGATCATACGGTTGTTAACAACAATAAAATTCTGTATCGGGGACTCAATGCACAATCATTAATCAACCCCAAGCCTAATTCTCAACAGTCTCCAATCTTCTGAAGTATAACGAACAAGTTCTTACATGGGAACAAGGTCTTACATAGTGAATAAGTTCTTACATGATGAACAGTACAAGGGCATTCATCACAGAAACTTTCGGTTTTGATCACACATCATAAACTATAAACAATCAGTTTATAGTTTATATATAGTTATATATATAATATAATATAAACACAATTATTCGTTTGATNAATAAAATGCTGAAGTGGTAGGTAGATGCAAGATAAAGGTAGACAACATAATTTAGTGCTGTAAGAGGGCAAATGTAGATGATCAGGTCTGTGCCTATAGACTAAGTATTAATCCAGGCTAGACAAGGGCAACAAAACATCCACGGATGCAGAAGATTTCTCTCAAAACAGGGGGGCCATCAAGAGCTTTTAAAGATACTTCCCCCAGCTTAGAAATTTCTGCCAGAAAAATGTATTGTATTATTATGGGAGAATTATTATTTTATTAGAATATCGGTATTTTCTTAAATGTAAAATAAGCTCTGCTGCGTTCTTAAATGTTCTTTTAGTGCAGCCAAAGACTTTTCACTTAAATACGACTCCAAAATTTGAGAAAGTTGATTAGTGAAAACTTCGATTTTTTTTAGAAGACCCTCACAACACTTTTTTCTCTGAAGCCAGACTGAAAAAGTGAACTTATATTTCACTCATTAGAAATAAAAGCAGAATCTCCCTAGCCAGTTTGGTACACATAGAACAGAACAAATTGCTTGGATTTGTTTTACAGTCACTCAGTATGTGAGGAATCATAGCATGAAATTGAGTTGGGCACAGGCCACATGCCCAGCGTGTGTCAGGGGGTGGATGTAATGCCTGGCAGACTAGTGATACGTTCACTCCAAAAAGCATGTGAAGGTGGCGGATGAGCGGGGCTTCCCAAGTGATGGAGTAAGGAATTCAGTGGAAATTTTCCCCAGCAAAATAGGGAAAATTGCTTAAAAAAAAAAACACAAGCAATTATATAAAATCTATGGAAATTATCCTGAGGACATACAGTAAATGGAGAAATGTGCATTCAAGAAAATCTACCAAATATGCAATCAGCCAGTCTGTACCCTTTGAGCTACAACCTCCTAACCACACCCCGTCCACAGCTCCATGTTCTGGAAATGCTACCCTGGGCCCTCCACTCGGCATACAAAGCCAAGAAGATTGAGTTTCTTTCCCTGCAACTCCCTTTCTGCAGCTAGGGGTTCACTCGGGAGAGACAGGTCGCTTGCCTTTCTCATTCCCTGCTGCTCTTTACTGCAGAAGCTGTACTGAGGGCCAGGCAGGCGAGGACATTGAGGGCTCAATCGCCCTGCCCAGGTTCTAAATAGGGTGGAGATGCCACCCCAGGAGGGCAAGCCAGGAAGAATAGGAACACCACTTCTTCCAGCCACCCCCCACCCCCGCCCACTTCTAGAGCAGAAATGTCATTCTTAGTAAAAGAGGGTCCGCACTTGAGTTCCAGGGCCTTGCCCGGAGGAAAGGCAGGCCATGTGGATGAGGATCTCCCCCGCTCTGCCTGAGGAGACGGACTTTCTTTGGAACAGAGCCCGGAGCCCTGCGTGCCTAGGGGTGTTGTCAAAAATAATGGAGATCTTGGAGAAGAGCGATAAAGGAGGCGGTAGCTCCCTGGCACACGTAAGATAGCAGAGCATCCAGAAATCTAACAGAAGCAGAGGAAGAGGCTAGAAGAGCTCTGCTGGGGCCACGATCAATCCTGGGGGTGCCCTAGGTGTGCGCACTCAGGAGAAATGAAAGCAGGACGTGGGGCTGACTTCAAAGTGTCCCAGGCCACACAGGGCCCATCATCACAGGGCAGAGTCCTCACCGGCACAGGCTCAAACACTCCCTCTGAGCGAACACCACTGAACAATAAGCTATTCCCACCCAGGGGCTGCTCCCGGAAGCCAGGCTTGTAACTAGGTCACACCCATTCCTGGGAGCCTGGGAAACCATACCAGGGGCAAGACTGAGCCCTCCCAGGGGTGACCAGCGAGGGGGCTCCAAGCTGCTAGTCCCTGACTGAATGTGGAGCTCAAAAATGCAAATTCCCCGAAGTGTGACAGCGAACTGCAGGCTGTACGGACCTCCAGCAGTGAAAGGTGAGTGTCTCACTGCCAAAGAGGCTTAAGCCCAACTCTGACCACTGAGAGACTGATGCGGACCCAGGGGCCACGCCTAGGTTTCTAGGCTAAAAGGTAAGTGGGTAAAGCTGAGACAACATGGCCTCACTTCCACGGTGTTCCTGCTGAAAATGGGTTCTGGGAATCTAATCACGAGGAAACATCAATGACCTCAAAATCCTCTTATAAAATAGTTGGCACTGTGCTCTTCAAAAATGTCAAACCACACAAGAAAGGCCAAAGAACTACCCAGCTTAAAGGATACTAAATGCCACAGGGGATGTGGGTTGGATTCTGGCCAGAATTTTTTCTTTTGCAAAAAAAGCAGTAGAGAGACCATTGGTAAAATTAAATGGTGCAATTCTGTAGCTCCAACAATACAATAATATTATGATCAATTTTTTATATTTTTGTTAAGTTCAGCATGCGTATGTATAAGACCAGGTTTGTTTTGAAGGAACGAGACAAAAGGATTCAGAGGCAAGGAGACACATATTTGCAGCCTACCGTGCAGACGGCTCAGGAAAATACAGCATACGGGACGGAGAGGGGAAGCACGTGTGATGAAAGGTTAGCATTTGGGGAATCTTGGGTGAAGAACATATTAGAAATCTTTATACTATTTTTGGCAACTTTTCTGTAAACCTGAAACTATCTCAAAATAAACGGTAGAGATGATGAGAAGAAAAGGAAAAATCTCTCCCCTCTCCCCATACACACACACACACACACACAAACAGAAACATGCCTGAAGGGAATGTAGTGAAGGTGTTAATAATGTTTATATCTAGATGGTGGGACATTAGATTTTGAATTAATCGTGCCAAGAAAACAAAAGCAAAACTATGCAAGTGAGCCTCCATTCATGTAAAACACTTCCGCACGGCAAAGGAAACCCATCAAAATAAAAAGGCACCTTCCTGAGTGGGAGAAAATATTTGCAGATCATATAGCCAATGAGGGGTTAAAACCCAAAATACATAAAGAACTCATACAATTCAAAAGCAAAAAACTGTCCAATTAAAAATAATGTGCATAAGGGATCTAAATAGACATTTTTTGAAAGAAGACAGATATGGCCAACAGGTACATGAAAAGGTGCTCAACACCACTAATCATCAGGGAAATGGAAATCAAAGCTACATGAAATACCATCTCACATTTGTTAGAAGAGCTATAATCAGAAAGACCCGAAAGAGCAAGACTTGACAAGGATGTGGAGAAAAGGGGACCCTTGTGCACTACTGGTGGGAATGTAAATTGGTGCAGTATGGAGGTGCCTCAAAAAAATTAAAAATAGAAAACCAGCACATGATCCAGCAATCCCACTTTTGGGAATATATCCAAAGGAAATTAACGCTAACTTGAAAAGACCTGCAACCCCATGCTCACTGCAGTATTATTTACAATAGCCAAGACATGGAACCTGAGTGTCCACCAACGGATGAATGGATAAAGAAAATGTGTTTTACACACACACACACACACACACACACACACACACACACACACACACACACACACATAAATATTATTTAGCCTTTAAGAAGAAGTCATACCATTTGTGAGAGCATGTATGGCCCTTGAGGGCATTAATGCTAAGTGCAATAAGTCAGACAAAGACAAATGCTGTTGCTGCCATTTACATGTGGAAGCTAAAGACCCCAAACTCCTAGAAGGAGAGTATAATAGAGGTTGCCAGGGGTGAGGGGGTGGGGGAAGTGGGGTGGTGTTGGTCAAGGGCACACATTTTTGGTTATAAGATGAATAAGTTCTGAGGATCTAATATTCAGCAGGGTGACTATAGTCAGCAGTACTATATTACATACTTGAAAGTGGCTAAGAGTGGATCTAACTGTTCTCATCATAACAGTGATCACACAAAAGGTAGTGATGCAAGGTGAAGGATGTGTTAATTTAAAAAGCACTGACAGGAGCTGTGGGCCTTGCTGTGTCGTGGTGGCACCTTGTTAGTTGTCCTTATTACTACGGCCTCATGTATGGCTGGCTACACCCTTCTGGGCCCTTCTGTCACCGGTAACAGTGCCAATATAGTTCTGAATGGGATCGTGACAGTAAGACAGCTGTAGTCTCAAATGACTAAGAGTGTCACATGTTTTCCCCCTGAGGCAAAGAGTATATCATATGACAAGAAATCCTAAGAATGGCAACGTGCATACTTTGGTGCTGAAACACCCTGTCATTTTTTGATGGCCTAAGGGTTCCAGAGTGATAGCTGGAGTGTGTCTACCTTGTCATTAAAGTGTCACTGACTGTTTAAAGCAAATTATTATTTATCACAAATTTATAGAACATGCCTTCTTAATCTTTGGCTGTTTTTGAAAAGTTTTTTTTTCCTTTCATTACAATTTAAAAAATAAATTATAAAACAGCTCTTCTCACAGTGTTGGGCATAAATAATAGAGAGTCAATAAGTACTAGTTTGATCAGCTAATCAAAAAATAAGGTGTGAGTGGCTGGTATGAGTAGAAAACTCTGGATTTTAAAGTTTGGCTTGTGCAATGAGTTTGACAGTTTCTGACCAGTTTATTTAACAGCTTTCCAATTTCTACCAGGTGGAGGCGACTTCGGTGGGTCACTAATTTTTCCTCTGGCTTCAGGCAGCAAAGTGTTAACACATCAGGATCTCAAAGGTAGGCTGAACTCTAACATTCTCCAAAGCTTCCAGAACGGGCTTCCATAACTTTATGCCAGCAGACATCCTAAATTTTATATCAGTCAAAATCCAGTCCTTATACTCAAAACCAAGAGAAGATTGTATAACAATGATACTTCAATTTAAAAAATGCATTCCTAAAATATAGTCCTGACTGATCAAGTTCTTCATATAAAAAAACTGGGTCTTTTATTTAATTTGTGATTTCAAAGAGAAAGTCACATATCTAATTATTCTATTCTAGATTCTTCTCACTCCCTTCTGTCACTATGAGAGATCAGTCCCTGAATTTATTTTCAAAGGCTGCCACCATTCAAATCCCTCATAAGGGGATGGCACTGAGTTTCTGTTAAAATGATTTCTGAGTAACCTCTCTTGATGCAGACAACTCGTGTTAAATGGCATTTAAATATTCTTTCTACAGATAAAATGTGCACTGAGAGTTAGTTGCTAAAGTACACAGCTGATAAATGGTGGAACATGGTTGAAAGCCTCAATCCGGACTGCAGAGTACAAGTTCTTAGCTACTGCATTTAGCTGTGTCTGAATTATTATCAGAAGCAAGTTGTAATGCCAAACTCCTTTCCCTCTGCCTCTCAGCATAATTTATGGCCGATCTCCCCTTTTCCTCACCTACTGGTTTTTGGTAAGTGTTCACCAACCAGCCCTCTAAAGAGCTGATTCATAGCATTTGCCAATTTCCAAGTGGCCAGTTTCAAATTAGCAACTTGATGGATTTGGGAAGAGGTGTGTAGGAGCATCCCACTGTGGAGTTTTTATATCATATAGATACCAAAGATGTATATAATTTTAAGAGCACAGAAAACAGTAAAATGCAATAAATGAATTAGCAAATAATGATTTTATTTTAAATATAAAGTAGTTAATTGTAAATTTGTAGAAACTAATGAAAAAATTTAGCAGTGGGTTCCCAAGAGCCAGTTCTATCAGATAATATATCTTTTGGAAGTGCGTTTTAATGTAAAAATTGGGAGAAGGGTGAAATTAAGGTATTGAGTCTCAATGCTATATGACCTGGAGCCCTCCTCCAGACAAATTTCTGGAGAACAGCAAGGGTTTGCCCAGGACTGAGAGGGCTGGATTCCTGGCGCCATCTGGTGGTTACAGTGAGCAATTGCTGTATTCCCAGCTGCTACTTGCACTCAGGCCCTAGGGGGCTTTTTCTACTGAGATAGGGGAGCATTCTTTACCCACTAGCTTTTTCAGGTACTAATTAGGCTCCCAGTTGGTAATTTGACCCTTTTAGTTTACAGTCTCCTATACTCTTTAAGATAAATTCCATGCGTTGGGCCAAAGGCACTTAGACTAACAAATTAGCAGGTTTTTTGCCCTGCACTGAGATTACTACCCCAAGTCCAGAGCAGAGGAGAGCATCTCCAGGCTTGGTTTATAAAGGAATGGAAATGAGGGTTTGGGGAAGAATTGGTGGTTTTATTGCTGTGGAGTTTAGGGGCCTGGGGAATTAAAAAAGATTGAAAGAGCATTTCTAGAAAGTGATTTGATGAGACATCACAAAAGACTTAAATGTTCCTACCTATTGATCTGGTAATTTTGCTTCTAGGAGTTTATCCAAAAATAATCACAAATGAGCATAAAATATGTATTATATGCTTATCACAGTATTGGCATAGCAGAAAACAAGAAACAACTAGAGGAGTTATATAAATTTTGATATATCCGAAAGAAGGGATAAGTTAAAAAAAAGTTTATAAATAATATTTAATGACATGGTTAACTGCTTTTGATAGATATAATTAAGTAAAAAAAATAATCAGGATTCACAGTGCACAGTATGATTCCAATGATGTAAAGAAACCACATGTAGAGGAAAAGAAAAAAAATACAAGAAAATATTAACTACATAGGCTACATCTGAATGGTAAGATTATAGATTGATTCTTCATATCAAGCTTTCTGGTTTTATACAATTAACCTATCTTATTCTAATAATCAAAAAATAATCGCTGTCATAAAATATAGAACGGAAATGACTGGATGAAACCTAAACAATTCAGATCTTCTGTGGATTCAGAGACGCTCACCCCATGTTCTTCCACCTCACGATTGCATCTAAGTTACAAGGGTGGTTAGACTCAGTGCATATGGAGGGGTTGTCTGGTCCCACATTTTTGTGTGCCAACATTAGCATCTTCTTAGTCCCCACTCCTACCGACCTCTGAATTTCTATGCCCACCGACCCTTGGAAGATGTCCAAAGTTTATCTCTTTTCAAGTGTGAAAAATAGCATTAAGGACAAAGTGCTATGCCCAGTTGCAGACTGTAGGTGGGAGCAGAAACTCACGTTTGGGAAAAGAAACCAGTCCGCCAAGCCTATACAAGTGGAGTATATTCGATCCTCTACTTGCTTTTAGTGACTTACAAAAACGACCTGGAAGCTTTCAGCAGCCATAAGTTTAGTGACTTCAACACACCATTTGAAGCCATCTTATCTGTTCTTTGGTATGAATGAAGATACTAGATGACTTGTACCAACCCCAAAGAATCATGTATTCTTGTTTCTTTATGTTAAAAAAAAAAAAAGCCTGTACTTCTCAGCAACAGGGTGTCATAGGCTATGTACAATATTTAATGAGAGATAGCTTCCAACCTGTGGCCTGGGGTAGCCATCAGTAATGGTATTTATGCCAGCCCAAATTCTTCCCTTATGACTAGATTGGTAAGGAAACAAGGCAGACCCTCCTAGGGGTACACGGAAGATAGAAACCAAAATGATTGCCCTTTATCTTCATCTGGTATTACTTAGATTCCATATGCATGATTGAGATGTACCTATTCCTTAATTTTTAAAAATGTTTCACTACGCTCCTTGTACAGAGCATATAGCTTGATACTACTTCCGAACCCAGTCCTAAATTTAGTCCTTATCACCTGATCTTGGAGTTCAACCCATGCACATGTCTTCTGATAGGTTTGATTTCTTACCTCCCTTCCTTTATAGTATTTATTATGTTTACTGTTGTTCATGCTTTTCTCCTTTTCAAATTTCTTCCAGATTAATCAGGATGTTAAATTGTCAAATTCTCCTCCCCACCTGTCTTATGCTCCAGCGACCCGTGTTTGACTATACAGCTCTTACATTTTAGCTCAACCTAAAGTCTGATGTCTCCAGCAGTAGCCGAAAGTCCCATGAACGCTTTGACCACCCGAAGGTTTAACACCATCACTCTGAATCCCCTCCAACCAAATTTGAGACATTGGGATGCTTGTTTTTTCTTAGTCATCCTCCCATTCCTAATCCTTACATTTTTTTTCCCCCATAAAACTAGAGTTTATAGTTACGGATTCCTTTAAACTGTTTTTGAAAACAATTTTACAATTAGAAAAATGTAAATAGCACAAAGAACATCTGTAGTGCACAGTATCAGATTTACCTGTTACTAACATGGTGCCCAATTTGCTCTCTTTCTCACATGTGCAGATGTACTTATTTTCTGGTAATTGAGGGTAATTTACATATGTGCCTTTATATCTACTCTCATGCCGAAACATGGTATGTGTACCTCCTAGAGCGATACACATCCATAATATAGCTAACAATTTCATACATTTCTATTGTTCCAATATTTTAGTCTAATGTATGGACCATGTGCCTGTTCAGTCAGGTGACCTACCAGTCACTGCCTTTCTTAGCATCCCCAGGCCTCCTCAGGGTGGGGTGGAGTCGAGGTTTAAGTTCTGTGTTGAATTGTGTCTCCTTAACCTCCTTTAGTCTGGAACCCTCTAGGAAATTCACATTTCTCAGAGTGCAGTCCCCCCTGGTATTTAAAAAGAGAGTGTTGTTGATTTTGTGGTGTTCTGATGATTCCAGTGTGATTAGATTTGGGTTATGCATCTTCAGCTCACTCTCTTCCAGTGAGCATGTGTTTTCCTAAGACGCCTCTTCTGTCCTCACAGGGATCTGTCTGCCCCCTGTTGGTGATGCAGCTTTGATCACCTGCACAAGGCTGTCGTCTGATTCTCCGCCCTGTAGTTATGGTTTTGTTTTCCTCCCTTGCAGCTCACGAGCAGTCTGTATTGATACACCTTAAGGCCATGCAACCATCTGCTCTTCATCACAACTCCCCCTAGACTTATCATCCACTGTTGATTCCTGCCGATCCGGTTGTTACTTCTGATGTCGGCAAAGCAGAGTTTCCAGCTCTGTCGGTCCCTGCACGTCGACCAGTCGGCTCGTGGCCGCTCACGGCAGTTCGTGGTGGTCTACTGTAAGTAAGAGCCCGTCGCCGTCATCTGTGTGTGTATGTGCACTCCTTTAATATATAAAATAGTTTCAGAATTACTTTGTCCATGAGGCTGAAATAAGCGATCCACTAAAAAGGTCATTTTCAATAACTACCACCCCCAAAATGGCCCATGCCTTTCCCCAAAATGAGGCTATACAGGCAAACACCGTGCTCATACAGCAGGTGGATTGGTTCAGTCTTTCCTTCCTCCCTGCACACACACACACACACACACACAAAGACAGTTTGAGCAATAAATATTTTTTCAAAGTAGGATTGGATATTAAGCATAAAATGAGTATATATCAATCCATGTTGATATAAATGTTTGAAGAAAGGCAGCAGGCATGCACAACAATGTGTACTGTTTGAACTCCTCTGTGTTCAGCTTTAACAACTTAAATTACACATTTTACAAGAATAG